GGCAGACGACAACATTATGTGATCAAAACACACAACTTGTTAACACTTCACAGCGCCACCCAGTGCATTTAATAATAACTGCGAGTTAGTGCTTGGGATTTATCATGGATTCACTTCATTTACGGCCAGCAAAGCAACGTAGTTAAAGGGTAACTAAACCCCTGGTCAGAGCCTGACTCCACCCACTGGCAATATTTGAAAAATGCTGGAAAAGTGGGCAGGGCCCAGCGGAGGGGGGCGTGCACCTGAGACGCATCTCTTTGTATGGAACTTGCCTACGTCACCAACAACCGCTGTGTCACGCACCACCTCCAACATCCAATAGGAAAATTCAACTGCAGTAGCCACCGTTCAACCTGAAGAGGGCAGCACTAAGGCATTTTTTTTACACCATATATTGTAGAAATAGAACACTTTATAAACAAATGCTTAGGTTACTCGAATCAATGACTGGTATTAATAAAGATCCATTCTTACAGATCATTAACTAAAAAAAGTTGGTTAAGTGTTTAGTTACTCTTTAAATTCGAATATTTTTTGAATAATAATTACACATCGAACATTCGAAAATTCGAATATTCGTGAACACCCCTAGTTTGCAGTAAACACTTTCTATTAGTGAGGGAGGAAATAGGGCACGATAAGGCCATTCACAAGCTCAAGTTAATGAATCACTGACTGCTGCAGTTTATCAGATGAAAGGAAATTCTCACCCTCCACAAAAGCTCCCAATGCTGTTTTGGAGAAAAACGTAATCTCAAATGCACTTGGCCAATTCAACAATTTTTGAAGATAAACTTGCTGTAATAAAGGCAACTGGAAGTAACAGACTAGTACAATTATGAGCTCTCTTAAGCCCCTTTCACACAGTGCGTTGATACCAGGAAATTGCCAGAACACCTTCTGTGTGAACGCAAAACATGACCCAGGATTAATACCGGGATCGATGCCGGGTTGGGGACCTACCTAGTAACATTGCCGTGTTCAGTCATAGAACGCATGCCGTGTGAACAAAACCGTAATCAATTAGGTGTCGTAATGATGACATTGTAGTGGGATTGTTTGCCAGCTAGTGAAACAGTACACAATGCGCTAGTTTATGATCGAAAAAAAAAAAAAATGCTGCTGAGACATTACATGTCACATTGATGTCACGTGTCTTTAATGGATTTTGACGGGTTGTGTGTGAACGCACTCTCTGATTTCGGAAAATCACAGTGTGAATTAACCAAAATCAAACGAAACCGGGTCAAAACCCGGGTCACTTTATCTGGCTTTAAAAACATAGACCTTTGACAAAAACGTCATTCTAACCATGATCAAACTCTACAATACATTTTTCAATCTACTTTGATGTCGATAGAGCCTTGAAAGGGTCTTTTCATGAACAAATGACCATAAAAAAATTCACGAAATTCTATAGCCCCATAGTCATCGTTTTAGTCATGATCCTTAAATATAACATTGAAGCCTATGACAACACTGGAAAAAGAAATGTTCTTGCAGAAAAATTATCTGACATTTCTAGCAAGGTATGACACGACATAATTAAATTTGTGTTTAAAATCCCTCTAGGGTCTGTCTGACAAGTAGCCCGATTTAAAACAGGCAGCGTCAACTATCTTCCATTAACCTGACCAGTTTTCAAACCACCATTATATCTATTTGCCTGTACAAGTACAGATACATTTCTTCAAGTCTTCATTAGCCACTGTCTAGATGATGATTCACAGTTCTTAGTCTCATCACATTCTTGGAGCGAGACAGGCCAGCCAGAACTGGTTAATAAAGTACGAGTGTGGGACATACAGTTCAATAGTAAATCTACCCTCCTCATCTATCCTCGCCCCCCTGAGTCTGCTAGACCAGGCCAAATCTCCATAGGTCTCTCATAGGACTCAGCAGTGTCAAGTTAAGACATGCCTGTTTCCGTCTCGAACATCCCAAACGAAAGGCAGAATAAACATAAAAGCCATCAAAGGCAAAGCACATAAAATAGAAGCTTATGGCTGGGACTCAGACTTCTTGGGGGTTCCCACCTACACGAGTCGCTTTAAAAAAGAGAAGGGAGAGAGAGAGAGAGAACAAAAACATTTAAATCAACAATCGTGTATCTCCTCTGAGATTTGAGCTTCAGTTCTCTGTAAGATGTGTACATTTACATTCAGCAGACATTTATATCCAAAGCAATTAAGCAACTTACAAATAAGCGAGGTGGAAAAAAGAGGTTCAGATACACATCAGCCCATCAAAGTTGACCGATTACAGATTTCAGAGGTGTATCTGTCACTATCCACATATTTAAGCAAATTTTGGGATCATGCATAAACATGATGCATGGAAATATGGCTCAAATTGCACATAAAAAAACCCTTCCATAATATTTGATTCAAATAGAAAGACTTAGAAACAAATTTACTGAGCAAATTTCTACATGAATAAAACCCACCACTTTGCCTCAATTTAGTCAATTTCTTCACTCAATTTCAGCACATAATTAAGATGAAAAGCATCAAATATTATATGACTGTCAGTTTCACACTGTTTTAATGACACGATTCCAATGCAAAATACCTAAATTAACAAGAACTAAAGTGAATTAGAAGAAAAGGCATCTGACTGAACCGGCCCGTTATAGTCCACGTGCTAACAAATGGCTGCTAATTAGCCAAGTGTCTGAGAGGAACATTAAAAGCAAAATCACTTCCTCTTCCATTATCTAAATGCAAATGTCTTGACACGCTGATTACAGCTCATTAGACATGCTTATTACTTACATTTGGTTTTGTGCCTACGGACATAGCAGCATCTACCTGGGAAGGAGATGATACAGAGGCCCTGGATGGCTTGCTGCTGGAACTCAACTAATTGGTTATGTTAGTGCTCTTTTCCCACAGTCAGAACAACCTCCTCCTGCAACCCAATCGTTTTGCTTAGGCTGGCAGAAATTCAATGATTCACGTAATGCGCACTTCACTTCACTGCCTAGTAGAGAGGCCAATCCATGCCAAGGGTCTATTATGTCGTATCAAACCCAGATTCTCAACCCAGAATATCTCATGTGAGCTTCACAGGTAAGCTTTCTCCATAACGACCATCAGAACTGTCAGAGATTGTGCATGGTTTAGGGCTGTCACTCACGATTAATCGTCAATTATATTGATGACTAATCGTCAATTATTTTTATGATTAATTGAGAAATCAGATATTTTTTTGGTAATAAAAATAGAACAATTACTTTTATGATGACTTAAAATACATCAGTATAATAACAATGAGGCCATAATAATTGGTTCAAATAAACTATCAAAAGCAATAAATCGTATGGTTTTACTGAACAACACTGTTAAAATACATCATGTAATATACATAATATACACAATCAACTTATGTACATTACACATAACAAATGCCTGTACGCTAACGGCCGGGTTATGTTATGTTAAAGTTTAAGTAGACATTTGAAAAAAAAATGTTTTGTCAAAAAAATTTTGCCCCTTCTTTATGATAGAAATGCTACAGCCACTGTGATTTCTTCGACAAGGAACATGTGGACATCAAACTCAGAGCGAGGGTTTAAACTTTTAAATTTATAGATAAATAGTAGTAGATATAGTGTCGTGCTTCACCCTGAAACACAAATCACATATTTTTTTTAAACTGAATCACAGCCTTCTATGCTATATTATGATTTTAATTAATATAATTTGGATAATTTGGCAGAGGTCAGAATTAAGCACAATTCCGGTCAAACAAAACATGTGCAAATTGCAATAAAAAAACATGTAGTACTCAAATTTAATCAAGGAATTGTGACAGCCCTATTGTGGTTAGACAATCAAACTTGAGTCTTAATCAAGAGACAATGCACAATGCACCTTCCTAAATGACATGCAGTATGATAACGGTACAATATTGAAAAAAGGGTCATTTGAAAGAAAAGAAACATGCAGATTTTTACAGCCTAAAACTATCAAATAATATCACTATTTCATCATGCATTTCTGAAGCAGGATTAGGTGACCTCAAATGACTGTTATAATGCAGAAAACTATATTTGCCCGATGTTTCACATCTCAGCTGATTACGATTCTAGTTTACAATAACTTATTATTTATTAGACAGTAATGCATATTTATGAGACACTAGCAGCTATTGTTAGTTATGTCTCACTACAATTGCTTTAGGTAACACTAGGGCCCCATTTGTTAACATTGATGCATCAGATAAAATAAACAAAAAAATTAAACAACATTTTTACAGCATTTATTAATCTTAATTAACAGATAACCTACAACTTTTAACATTAAAAATGTATTTGTAAAATTTGATTTAAAAATTCTTCAGAAGCACTGTCCATTGTTGGTTCAAATAAAGAGATCGTGTTATCTTGCTTTTTTTGTTTTGTTTTTTACTTACAATGACCAGAAACAATGGCCACTTAATAGTAAATTTAAGAAAAATCTTACTACTAGTAAGATTAAAAGCACACCAGTGTCTAATAAAAAGGTAGCCTATTAGTGTCTATTAATTTAATACAATGAAAACTGGATTAGATAGATACAAGCAACTAAACCGAAAACGTACAAGTGTCAAATGTATGAATAGGCTACTCAACAATGGATAGTTACTTTACTAGCAACAAGTGAATAGCCAAAATTGAATCTTTAGACCTCATAGAGTTCAATGGAAATGCAATTTGTTGCCAGTCACATACTTGTCAATATCCATAGCGAATAGCAGCAAAGGGGGAAAACAAATCTACAAAAGTAGTTATAGTATGCTATGAATGCATACTAGCGACGAATTTAATGATTAGTATAGGCTAGATGCTAGTCACTCATGTCACTTAAAAAAATCAGTTGGTTAACTTTAAGCAACATGATAAATTGACTTGTCATAACTTTTGAACACCTCTTCTTCACGGCTCAGGAATCATTTTGTAACATTCAGAAAACATTTTGTAACCCGATTTGAGGATGCAAGTGAAAGCTGCTTACCCAGGTGAAGGGTCAGGTTGATAACGTTCGGGTACTGGATGCCCGCTAGCATAGTCTGACTTTGCCACCAGGTGGTATCCGCTTGGTTGTTGTAATCGGTGAGATAAACAGCACTGTGGTGCTGTCTGGGGTCCCCGGCATCGCAAATGTGGCATGATTTAGTGACTCCAGTAACCCCGGTCTGTACACAGTATTCTTCAGGCGGCGAACCGCAAGTGTTGGTGGACACCACGGTTACATTAAAAGCGGCGTTAACAAACTCTGGCATGCAGCGCTGAGGCCGATTGGACTCGTCTATACATTCATCCATCGCTCCATGACTACACGCTGCCCACAAAGTCCATAATAACAAATAACTAAAAAGCGGCATTGTGTCCTTTAGTTTATGCGACCTCACGTAGCTACCGTCACTGTCTTTATCCCTTAAAATCCTCGCCGTCTTTAAAAAGTTTGCGGTAACTCGCCAGCTACCGAGTTTGTGGTTTAATAAATAAACTCATGCGGAAAATGGTGGTAATCGCGTCACCTCCAGAAAAGCAATAGCTGTGGCTTAAGTAAATCTCCTCGCGACTTCTCTCGTGCAGACCTTCACTTTATTGGTGCTTAGTAACCACCGCCATGGGAAAAAAAACTTTTGGAGAAATGGAACTATATCCGACTACACCCTGGCAGCTAGTGCGCAAGTCAAAGTACTTCCAAAAAAAAATCCCTACGTCTACTTCCGCCTGAAGGATGCTTTGATGGACCGCCGACCCGCTAAACAAGGCAAGTCCGAATGGACAGGGAGAGACGTGCGGGCGTGGCGAAAGTGCTATGGGCGTGGCTTTACACTTTGCCAATTGGTCAGTTCTGCCAGTCATGTTCAGGAGTGGTTGGGGGACAGAGTTTCATAAGCTACCTCACAGATTCTCATGGAGCGATGAACTGACCGCTAACTACCCGCACATTTTTACGGGGGAAATCGTTCAAATAAGATGTCCACGTTTGGACGTGGTGAATAGTAGGACCTTTTTCAACTTTAATTAATTAAAACACCTTTCTGAGATATCCACCTTCACATTTAGCCTATCTTGTGGTGTCTTCGGAGGCTTTCTGGATGAATCTTCCGTGCTATGAATAACTAGGGGATGATAGCTGTTGCTTGCTGAGAGCAGTGGAGTCAAAGAGCAAGGTTATATATACCGACTCAACCAGGCAAGGGTGTATCCGAATACTTTAAATAGCTGAGTGTTACGTTTTGTGGGCTGTTTATTAATATTTTACCAGCATTGTTTCAAAGATGTAATAGAGAACCAACTAAACGTTCCTCCAACACTCATTCTACACTTCACACAAAAAGTATTTTAAGTATTTTAATTTTGTATTTTTAAGAAAGCAGATGCCTCATATTGATTGTAAATAAGAAAGACTGATGAAAATGTCAAACATTTCAAATTTAAGTTAAGCTTGATATTTTTATTAATGCAGAGAAGCATCCACTGTATGCATATTCAAAGAATTCACAGAACTAACTAAAATACAAGACGTAGCCTACTATACACATATACTGCACAAATAAATGGCTTTGGATTTTAATAGGCAAATGCTTAAGAGTCTATGATTGAATCTTTATTACATTAAAAATTATGTTTCTATCATATTATTTGTTTCCCAACAGTTCTTCTAACCCTGATTGATGGAGTGTGTGCCAAAAATTGATGCCCCTCTTGATGGAAATAAATGTGGTTATTTCCATCAATAGGTGAATCAATTTTTGGTCAGTATCTTGTATTGACAATGCAAGAGTTGAGCACTCAGTAAAATCTACTCCACCACACCCCAAAGACTGTCAATGAAATTAAGGTCTGACTCAAGAGGTGACAATTTAGGTCTAAAAATAATTCTTACTCCCTCACAATCATTATTTGACAATCTGAGCCTGATCCTGGAATATGTAATGTGTCGTCCTATACATGGTTGCTTACAAAATGAAAATCTAAAATCCATCAATTGAGGTTAGAAGGACTGTTGCCAAACATATACCATGCTAGAAACATAATCATTGAAATAATGATCCAATCACACTCTTAAGCATTTGCCTGTTCAAATCAAAACAACATATTTTTCTTTCTTGACTGGGCAGCAATTCAATCATATTAAAAATAAATAGGACTTAATAAATAACAGATAAGGCTGACTTATCTAATCATTTCTTTAAATATTTCCAATGAACTTTCTTTTTTGCAAATAAAGTTTGCTCTGGTTTGATTGGAAAGTGAGAGCTGGAGTACTGTGTTATCAGTAAAGGTATGTGTACCATTGATTAGATTTAGGCGGCTATAGCAGATAGTACTGTACCTGATATTCAACATAAGCCCAATGAGTCTCTCAGACTCTTCTGAGACATTCTTTAGATGCTATACGATTTAATCAAATGGTGATCAAAGAATAATAATAATAATAATAATAATAAAACTCTGGTGTTAAAAAGACAATCAATCAGTTCCCATCAGCTGTGGAGATTAATTGGTCAAATTAGCGTCTATCTAAATAGGATCAAATCAGCTCTGTTGGAAATAGATAAACTTTTCCTCATAAAAATCATGATATATCTATTTAAAAGGCAATAAAGCAAAGAGATGCTTATACGTTTTTGACTCAAGAAACTTGATATCTACCTGACCTTCTACCGTATGCAATGACTTCAGTCCATCCATCAATCACTAGACTTACTTCACCAGAACAGGGGAAATGAGTGCTAGATCTGTGTCAAAATGAGGAAAGACTGTCAACACTTTGTTAAATACTCATTCCAGTCCCCCATACTGAGACAGTGCCCTGCTACATCAAGCTCAGGCATGCCCAGGATGTGCATTGTCTCACTACCTTAAAACTTTAAACAAATTCACCAGCAATTGTTCTCTAAGGGGACTTAAGTCTATCCAGGATACAAAAGGTATGTACGCTCATCTTACCCAGAGGCTAAAAATTTTCTCCCTCAAGATATTCAAAGCATCCTCTTAAATATTTGGTGGTGCCAGATTTGCTCTGAGTAAATCTTATTTGAGAACAAAGTCAGGGTTAAAATAAATAATAGCAATTGAATACATTTTAAATAATTGATTTAAGTTAACATCCATAGGCCAAATTAAAGCACAGTCTGCTGCGGTTTTAAAGCGCCCTCTATTGGTAATCATTAGCAAACTCCTCTGCCCTAAGCAAAAAAAAACAAACAAACAAACAAACAAACAAACAAAAAAGATTAAAATACCTTAGATAAGCAAAATCAAGAAAGGTTCAGACAACATTTTAATCTTACCCACCCACCAAACACTTCAATTATATAAAAGTAAAGGTGAATCTAAAGGGTTAAACCTGGATCAAGGCACTCTTAAATGTTTCACATTTCACTTTAAAACATTTAAATGTTTCTGTTTATCTGTATTTCAACCATGGATTTGTTTTGTTGAATAAAAGATGTATTAGGCAGATACTGTAAAACCGATATACTTTTCACCAGACATGTCAACACACTTAAGTGTTTCAAAGCTCTACATGTACACAGCTTAATAGGCACATGCATTTTTCCAGCTGCGAAAATGTGCTTTAGCACTTTATGGTCTCTGGAAAGACACTGGGTTCTAATAAACTGAAATAATGTAATTATTAGGAGTAAAACAATAATGCATTTAGCAATCAGCAATCCATTAGTGTGAAATGTGTTTCTTTATTGTGAAATTTCAAATGCATACTTCTAAATAATGTTAGTTATAGGGAACAAAATGTTGCTCAATCTGGACAGAAAAAAAAAAAAAAAAAAAAAAAAAACTTGGCTGGAGTTACATTGCCACAAAACCACACATCTGGAAACTTTCTAATTCCCACCAGTAACTTTTTGGTAGGATTGTCAACTAACTCATTTCTTAGAGGGCATAAGAGAGATCAAGAGTACCCATTACTTAAGTATAATAAAGAAATTATATATGAGAAATAAAGATGGATACAAAAGAAATTATTTAATAGAATATAACACTTAACATGTATTTGCCATCTATTAAAAATGATTACTACAATGTTGCTCACAAATTAGCTGTTTTTAATAGCCGTTATTATCTGGCAGTATGGCAGTCAAAGTTTACATTTTTCATGCTTTATTTATTTACATAAAACAAAATGAGAAAAGATTGAGAACCAACAAAAAGCAATACAAAACAAACAATTTTCTACTATCTTGAAGATATTTTATGTTCAGTTATTCAGCTTTAATAACCACCCCTGTTTCCATCCCACCCACCTGAGCCACCTCTGAATCCTCTCCCTCCATATCCTCCACCTCCATTAGATCCTCTGTACCCACCAGATCCCCTGAACCCACCTCCACCACCATACCCCCTGTATCCACCCCCACCCCCACGATAACCTCCTGATCCTCTGAAGCCGCCTCCACCACCCTGGTATCCTCCACCTCCTCTGTATCCTCCACCAGACCAAGATCCACCGCCACCGCTGTATCCTCCTCGGCCCCTGAACTCTTGACCACCTCCAAAATCGCTACGGGCCATCTTGGGCGGACGTGGACCATCTCCAAAGCTGTAAAAACCAAAGATAAAATGCGTTAAATTAATTGTAACATCTGAAGGTCAAAAGGGACCTTACGCTTAATAGGCGACTTAAATATATAGGTTTAATTATCTCACCGTGGGTTAGTGGCCATGAGGTTGATGCCTGCTGACGAGGGTCTAGACACAAGTCGAATGGCATTCAACAAGTGCTCGTTGGTGGGATCCAAATTTCTGATGTATTCCGGGTCTTTGGTCACCTCCACCACCAGGCCTTCCATTGCTGCCCTCAGAGCAGCCACACCAGCAGCTACATCATGGGGAATCTGCAATTTGAGCCTACAGAAGGAAGGAATATTCTTGATAATCAAGGAACACTTCTCTTTTGTTGATTTCCTTGCAAATATTTGGTTTGCTCCCAGGATTTCATTCTCAAAAATGGAATCTCTTTTTTGGTTGAGCTTCATGAGAAACATACCAATCATCAAGCTCAACAATTTCTCCATTGGATGTGATCTTCTTTGAGCCGAACAGAATGAGCTGAAGAGGGCTGACAAGTGTCATTCCTTTTGCTGAGACGGCTCGAGTTCGGATCTGTAATTACAAAGTGCAAGTATGTAGTATATTACAATATTACAAGTATATTACAAACTATACTTGTGTACTACTTCTGTATTTTTTCTTTAAAATATTTTCTGTGATGAATAGAAAGTTAAAAACGTTTAATTTAAAATATATTTTTTTTCTAACAATATAATTGCCACTTTTGAGCTTCCTTGCTGATGAAATGTGTTTATTTCTTTGAAAAAAAAAAAAACACCCCAAACTTTTGTCCAATCAAATTCTCTGTAGAATAAGAATGTCCCACCCCTTAATATCACCTGCAACTGACTAGAAAGTAGAAAATGATGGCTCAATTCTGAGTCTAAATGAAGTAGAAACGTAATATATATATATATAGTTTGAAGCTAGACTTTAAAACAAACCTTTTCCCCAAAGACGAAAAAGGGAGATGGATACGTCATATCGTGGTTGCTGAAAGGACAGTTGACTGAGGATTTGTGAATGAGAGCATTTCGACCCTCTGTGGTCAGGATCTTCCTTTTCTCTTTGTGGTAGCACACGTTGGGGTAGGAGCCAAACGTCAGCAGAGAGATCACCACATCCAAGTTATTGTCTGGTCCCACGTTGTTAAACATCTGATTCAGGAGGCACTCTACAAGAAAAGGAGAAAATAGAAATAAAATTCAGAAACTCAAACAACATCTGTGGACTGTAATATACAGCAGCACAACGCAGAAGTGCATTTAGAAGGATGGTTTAACCTTCAGGGAAGCCAACGTTAATAAGGATCTCCTTTAGCTGGACCTTGGCCTCCCAGGTCATCCTCAAAGTGGGCATGTTCAGCCTCTTGTGCTCACAGAACCTGATCTCTGCTTCCTCACCTCCCATCCTGATAAAATAGATTCTATTTCAATTGCAAATCCCTCAAGAAAAAGAAAACAACAACACAAACACAATACCAAATTTAGTATAATGCCCTCTGGACCCACCGGACTTCATCCCAGGCCTGGAAGACAGAGAGTAAAGCCACGTGATCTGAAAACCGTGTGCCCGCAAAGTTCCTGTGAACAAAGCCGAGACGTCTTCCCTCGTTGATGAAGGGCTCTGGGAAACAGGCCGCTGCTGAGATGGTGCACACTGCATCTCCAACACTATAGCACAATCACACACACAAACACAGGTAAATACAATAGGTGATGGGGAAAAACAGCTAATTAAAAAGTATACCAAAAAAATTTTTAATTATATAATACACAATATATATTCAATATCTATTATATAATACGTTTATAACTACACTATTATTTAGACTTTAGGGGTCAGTAGGGTTCGTAAGAAATTAATACATGTATTCAGCACACTTCAAGTGACAGTAAACAAGAGTTACAAAAGCTTTCTATTTTATATAAATGCTTTTATTTAAAACGTTCTAATCAGAATCCTCTATTTTTTGGGCATGTTTCCATTTAACAGTTTTAAACATTGATTATAATAAGAGGTTGTTTTTATTTTTTAAATTGTGCAGGAAATCAGCATATTAGAATAATTTCTGAAGGATCATGTGACATCATGTGTATTCTGAAAATACAGCTTTTCCATCACAGGAATAAATGATATTTTAAAATATATTTAAGTAGAAAACTATTTTAAATTGTAATAATATTTCACAATATCACTATTTTTTTCTGTATTTTTGATTTAATAAAGCAAGCCTTATTTCAAAAACAGTAGTGTACATGCATGTGTAATTTAAAATATTTTTCATTTTACTTTTTATCTTGGTGTTAAATATGACCTGACAGGTTTGTGAGAATCACCGATTTGATAAACAGCCAAGGTTGAATGAATAAACTTACTTAAAGATGCATCCCATGATCATCATCTTTCCCAGACGTGGTTCAATGGGCAGTTTGGCCAGAACACGTCCCAGTGGAGTCAGCTCATCATTACAGTCTAGAGCATCCAGCTCTGGGAAACAAAAGAGGCTTGTTGAATTTGGTTCACTTTAACTTAATTACCATAAAGAGATTGAAGATGTACCTCTCAGTGTATGTTCAGCTTCAATTACGGCATCCAATGGAGGCGGCTCAATGGCTTTAGACAAGAAATTCCCGATGGCACCCAGTCTCAGTAGCTTAATGCTGAGGGCCACCTCATGCAGCGGTGTGCGGAAGATTTCTGGAGTCATATGGGTATCCAGTCTGCATAACAATCATTGCAATCATCATTTCATATACAGTTTGATTGTGTTTGAGGTAGCATTACAACTGAAGAATGACATTTCATACTTTTCAAAGCGAGCTCTGCTGCACAGGTGAAAGCAGAAGCCTGGTTTGACTCTGCCAGCTCGCCCCTTCCTCTGCTCAAGGTTGGTCTTGGAGGCCCACACTGTGGCGTAGTTTGTCATATTGTTGTGAGAAGTGAACAACTTCACTTTCTGCCTGAATGACACATATTATTTTGTTATTTTAAAACCATTTGCGGACAAAACGGAGCATATAGATAAGATAAATGTACATAAAAGAAAAATAGTTCATCTAAAAATAAAAATGTCTTCATTTACACACCCTTATGTCATCCCAAACCAGTATAACTTTAAATGTTCTGCTTTACATAAATATAATGTTGGTAACCAAACAGTTTGGTTACCATTGACTTCCATTTTATGGACAAAAAATACTGAGACATCTCATCGTATCTTAAGTCATACAGGTTTAAAATGACATGCAGGTGAAATGACAAAGAGTTTTCATTTTTTGGGTGAACAATTTCTTTAATTAAAGGAGCTGCTTACTTGCAGGAGTCAAGGACAAAGACCACATCATTTATGGTGATGCTGGTCTCAGCGATGTTTGTGGATAAAATGACCTGTGATATGATAGAAAAAAATTGCTTAAAAAAAATTAATACACCAATTCCTATACTGAACAATAAAACTTGTACAGACCTTAGTCACACCATCAGGGACAGGCTCGAACACTCGTCTCTGTTCTTCCCTGGGGATTTGAGAGTGAAGGGGCAGGATTCGGTATTGATGACCGCCTTAGAAGGACACAATATTGAAGGAATCGCTATTAGTCATTTTAAGAAATTAGGGGATACAAGTCAAATCATCAGAAGAAAAGATTTCACTTGAGTGCAAGCAGAACATCATTAAATTACAGACCGAAGTGTGGGTTCATCTCCAGGTGTTTTTGCATGGAATAGATAAGGTTCCAGCCTGGGAGGAAGACTAGCACAGCCCCTGGGACTTCCAGCGTTTCGATGTACTTCAGCAAAGCCTCAATCAGCTCGAATGGAGTTTCCTTCTCATTCAGCTGAGACATGGCGCGCTTGGTCTCAGGACTATACTCAGGCCCACAGATGACATTACAGTTCACCTGTAGAAAACAGAAAGAGGCTCATTTAATTTACTGAAATCATCAAGTAAAAGTTCATTTGAACACTGTTGTTGAGTTGTTTAGTTAGTTAAATGCAGCAGTCCATCAGCTATGTTTTTGAAGTCAGTTTTAGTTACACTTGTAAAATAATTAAATTCAAATAATGTAACGCTTTTGATTTTTTTTTTAGGATTCATTGATGAATAAAAAGGTAAAAAGCATTAGAACAGGAATATTATATTTAATCTAAATTCATACTTAATTTTGAAATACTATTTTAATAATTGATCTTAATAACTTTAATCAATGACTGCATAAAAGCCATATTCAATATTTGTCATAAATACATGTATTTTTCTCAGACAATATAATTGGGCAATTTTTTTTTTGCACCTAATCTAAAAACAAAAAACAAAACCTACTTCTTCCTCTCCACCATCTTCATCTTTATCTTTTTTCTTCCGGTCCATTGGTGGTGGTACGAACTGAGTCATCTGAATGCAGTCTTCTAGAAAATACTCTGGAAATCGAAAAATACAAATTATAAACCATCAGGTTGTTGAAATGACTTCAGTGTTTTACACTGTTTTATCAACATATTCTAAATGAATGCTCTATTACTGAGCAATGGGTTTCCAAACAACTTACATAGGGATATTTAATCCAATATATATATATATATATGAGATGTTAGTATTGAAGAATTGAAAATACATTAGAATACAGTGCCTTGAGAAAATCGGCTTCTGACCTTGTACAGGATGTGCACGTCCATGCACCTCGATGACAGGACAGTTGAAAAAGTATTCTCTAAACATGGTGGTGTCAATGGTGGCAGACATGAGGATGATGCGAACATCAGGGTAAGCCTGGACCACATCTCTCAATACTACCAACAGGAAATCAGACTGGACAGAAAAACACACTTGTGAATATAGTGGGACAGGATACCTCGGTCTGATATGTTATGGTAACGATGAACTTACATTCAAGTCCCTCTCATGGATTTCATCCACAATCACATGACTGATGCCACGGATACCAGCTTCCAGCTTCCTCAGCAAAACCCCTGTGAATTAAGACATTTTTAGCTATATCGCCCAGCTCTACGCAGTGTGCCGCAGTCAGAGATTAAGACGTGGAACTTACCAACTGTGCAGAAGAGGATGCTGGCGTGAGGTCTGGGCAGGACTGACTCAAAACGCACACTGTAGCCACAGCTTTTCCCAATCTCCTCTGCTCTCTCAAAAGATACACGTTCTGACACTGACACAGCACTGATCCGTCTCGGCTAGGTGGATGAACGGTCGCAGAAGCAAGTCACAACACAGGTCTGTCTCCTCGAACACACTAATTAATTATTTCAACACACTCACCTGTGTAACAATGATATTGCACTCAGATGCTCTGCCTCTTTGTATGAACTCATCCAAGATGTACTGAGGAACCTGAGTGGTCTTTCCACAGCCAGTGGCTCCACGAATGATGATCACTGGGTTATTGTGAATGGCGGCCATGATTTGCTCCTCAAAATTCTTGACTGGCAGGTTATTTCGATCCACTAGAATCTGTAAAAAAAACATGCTGCTAGTTGATTTTACAATACTAACAACTCCAAAATTGTAGTCTATATACAAACTCCCTTTGTTTGACATAACAGGATAGGAGGGTTTAGTATTTTTGCTTTAAAAAACGCTTAAAAAAAATCTAAACATGTAAATGCCCTCAAAGCTAATACCCAGACTACAAGTAAAACCCATAAAACTCTTTAAAACCCATACAAGTTTTTATTTCATGCAGTGTTTAAAGGCTGTTTTTAGCTCACTGTCTGCAGATCTTTGTCCTGTTCAAGTTGACAGTTGAGCTCCTGTAGTAGGTCTGCGCTGATCTGTTCTGGGGTACACTGCAAAACAAAAAGAAGCACAATACGATTTCAGTTGGTTGATGTATGTAACACTAAATTGATATCATTCGATTTAAAAAGCTCATTGGAGAATAGCGGACTCACAAATGCCAGCGGTCCTTCGTCGATATTGGAGCTGGTCCAGGGGTTCCAGTTGACCTGCGGTGGCGACCATGGCACCACTCCAGCCATGCTCTGCCTTTGTGAGGGCTCAAAGTTAGCCAACTTCCCTTGTACCAGAGATACTGGACTGTTGGGGTCCTCAGGCTAAAACAGGACAAACAAAGTTGTTGGCTCATACGTCACTAATAAGAAGTCATGCAGGTTTTCTATTCAACACTTACAGGAGGAGGGATCTGGATGCCAAGTTCTTGCACAATACTGTGCAATTGCTGCTTTACATCATCACTGAGATTCACTTCATATACATCCACCTGTCATAGCAACCCAGACAGGAAGTCAGATGAGTCAATAAACACACAGACCTCAAAGATAGTTGAACTGGGGAGTTAAACTCACACTTTCTCCCTCTTTCTTCTTGGTCTGTCCTGTGTAAGCCTCTATAACCCCCAAATGGTAAAGCTGACGGACAAGAGAAAGTGCACAAGACTGGGCCGCCAGCTTCTTTGTTGAACCATGCTCACGGGCAGGAACCTCTAGAAAAGTAGGACAGCATTAGCAAGGACACAACTGCTGATTGTTGATGTGAAACTATTTGCCCTTGACTCTTACAGTTTATTGTTTAGAAGGTTGCAAAGTATTCTGATACTTACTCCTACCAAGTTGTCTTACAAAGATTGACATCTCAGCAATAAAACTCCTATAATAGAGCAAAATTTTAAATCAAGAAATCCGAACATGACCGTCTTTAACAATGTAGCAAAAACAAACTCCACAAACTGACCTCTTAACCAGGTAGCACATGAGATCAAGAATGACATTTCAGCACTGGGTCCGAATAACCCATCCTGAGCAGGTTTGTTTTTCTGCCAGACTTCTAAACATGGGAGTTATTCCTCTCGAGGTACTGGAGAACTCGACCCCTGATGGACGAGTGACATCAGAAATCACAACCAGACATTATTTTGCCTTTTCCACCTCTAAACCCAATCAATCACATACTTTACCATGTGACCTCTTAGTGTAGCCTAAGACATGTCACATGTTTTCCCCCATGTAAGGTTGTGATTTCTGGCATCTCTCTTGTCCTCCTTCAAGATTACATACTACATGGGTAAATCTCACAAAAGCACGTCCAGGTCACATTTCACTCTAAAATCAAGTAAATATGATTAAAAAAATAACTAGGTAAAAAACCTAGTTGGCTTGAGAAAGACAGGCCAGAAAATCTGAGGTTTTCAGTTTAAAGTAGTTTAAATGTTTTAAAGCAAATGCAGTCCATCAGAAAAACAGATATAGTGTATAGATAGGAAGTTTTTTAATGTTGCTAGAATGATTTAGCACATTGCTAACCAGTTGGGGGCATGATTATCACGTTTCTAGCATGATTTTACATGCTGCTAGCGTGATTTAATTCATTGCTACCATGATTTAACCCATTGCTAACATGTTGGTGACATGATTAACATGTTGCTAGCATGATTTATCATATTGCTAACACAGTTTAGCATTTGCTAGTATGATTTATTATGTTGCTAACAAGACTTAACATCTAGCTAGTATGCTGCTAGCATGATGAGCATGTTCCTAGCATGATTTAACATCTTTATTAATTATTATAAATTTGAATAGATACAGTCGCATTTTTATTAATAACAACAATTGAGCCTATTTTTACAACCACTTCTTAGTATTGTGATATTATGGCAAGCACATTATTTCTATACATTTTCCTTACTGCAATTCATTCTTTTGACTCTAAAGTGAAATATGACCTGGACATGTTCTTGACAAGTTTTGTGAGATACACCCATATGACATTGTTGATTTTGCAAGAGATTGTCCTTTTGTTGTCTGAGATCTCCTTGAGGTTAGATGTACATCAAGGAGTTCTCTGTGATTGTTTCAGTCCAGCAGAAAAACAAACCCTTGATACATCACATTCAAAAGGTATGCAAAGTATGATTTTTGAAGAGGCATATCATTGAAAACATTTAGTTACAAATGAATATCTCTCTTAAACAACAGGTGGGATGGGTAAAAACTAAGCTGTAAATGTCTGTATATGATAGGAATGTTCTGACCTGTTGTGGTCAGGCCCCACTTGGCTGTACTTGTAGTCTGTTTGGTTTTTCTCCTTCTGAAAGAACTGGTTCAGACGGGCCTTCGCATTGTCCAGAGTCCAGTTTCCATGCAGGCCAGCGTTCAGATCAACTTCCTCTGATTCCAAGGTCTTGGGGAATAAGAAAAAAAAGAAAAACTTAATTCTCAGAAACGTTCTATAATCGTCATTAGACAGAAATCTGTTCTAAAAATATGAAGAGCTACCGCTTTGTCATCCTGTTCCTGTCTCTTGGAGTAATAATCCTGCAGGTTGGCTCCTCGCTCCCATTGGGCATTACCAAAACCAGAGTAGCCCAAACCGGTGACTCCAGGAACAGGTGCAGAAGCTGCAGAAGGTTCTGAGACACAAGAAGAATTCAGTATTAGAAATGGTTTCAGGCAATGTTTAATATGGTTTAAATAAAACTAGGTCACTAGCCCAAGCTGGTAGATGCCATAACCCACAACTACACCAAGCTGTGGGCAAAAAAGCATCTTTCTCAAATAACAGCCCTTCACATGTAGCTGTGTATCCTGACTAAATATTTAGAAAGCAGCACCTAAAGCAGATACTTCATTAATTTATAGCAGATGTTTTATAAACGATTATTGGATTGATTTAACATCTCTCACCCGATTCCTTCTTCACAGCCAGATGTGGAGGTAGTGGACAGTTGGATGGGAGACTTCCAAACTCAACACTTTCTTCATTCCCACCATTCCCTCCATCAGGTACACTGGCCTGAAAATGATAAACATAAACTTCATAACACACAACAAATGAGCTGTGGTCAACATAGGCCTAGATGTGATACTGACCCCTAGAGCAGGAACTTCACCAGGACTTATTTCTTTCATCCGAACAAGATAATTCACAAAATCTCGTGCAGAATTGGACTGAGCATCCTTCTTGTTGGTGGAATTTCCCATGCCAACGTAATTGTAACCCTCCACACGCACCTTAGTGAAGAAATATGATTTAAAACAGATCTCCAACAACAACATATATTTATATATACCGGTACACAGATAATACCATAATTAAAGGAATCTATCGATATAGACATCTAGATGTGAATATGAATCATATATACGGTGTATATTTTATATATAGACCTCACCTCACACACGAATTTCTGTCTGTTTTTATTCCCAGCAGCTCGGATGTCATAGTTCGGAGTTACCTTCTTTTTTCCACACCAAGCATACAGAAAATTCTTAATGTCCGCCATTGTTGACGGTCTGTGAATTAGATTAAAATTAATGATACGATTTATCTTTTAAATTCTCAAAGATAACCTAGCTAACTCTGAACCGAGTGGAAGAGCGAATGCCAGATTATGTAACGTTACAGTAACGGCAAGAATAACTGTATCGATCTAGACTAGAGAAAACCAACTAACTTAAATAATGTGAAAAGTTGAAACTGTAAGCACCCGAATAATACTTATACATTTAAAAGATACACCAAAAAAAGATGTATTTGCCTATATTACAGGAAGTCTGCAGCAATGAATGGGCTAACATTAGTTAGCCCCCTACAGCCATCTCCACGGCAAATAAGAAAATTACAATCAAATACAACTATTAAGTAAAATAAAGATGAACTACTTTACGTTTGTAGCATACCAGAAAAAAAAACGCAGCTCACGCAAATCCAAAAAAGACGGACACGATATTTAGAGAAGTACGTATGTTACAGGACAATTAACGTTAGCATTAGCAAACAACGCAGAACAGGAAAAGGAAGAACCGGAAGTGACGCAGCCCTGAGAGCGTAACGTTACTCAGCCTATTTTTTACAGCAGCGTAGCATAAGGTCCTATGATAAAATCCCTTGAAATGCAAATTCATCATAATTTTGTTAGTAATGTTAGTCCCCATTTACTTATCCCAATGAAGGTTATTTATAGGTTTGCATAATGTGGAATTTTGTGTCAAACCTACTCCCGTATACGTATTGCAACGTTAAATCCGTCGATTCTGCTGTCAGCAGTTTTTTTATGTACATTTAAGTATACATTGTATAATATATGCATACGTATATTGGATATCTACTGTATAATGTTTCTTACTCAATGTCTGGACTACACACCTAAAATGATCACACATTACCTGTAAATGCTGTAATGAGTATATTTTTTTTATCTTTCTCATTAGATGATATACATATTCATATATTCACTTAAGAATAACTTTAAGAATATAATAATCCTTATACAGTAATGAATATAAACAAAAGTAATGAGCAATAATGCTAATAAGGCAGAATGAAATTAAGAGAACAGAAATGATAAATCAATTTCAGGTCACACAGACAAAATGATCAATGAGGCCACAATCATCTTTATTCAATGCTCAGCTTTCAACTTTGAGACTGACCATCAAATACATCGCTACGAGAACAGCAAACATTGAGGAGTTATGTGCCACAAAAAGGTTAAAGGCTTTGATGCTCATATGGACAGTGAGAACACAGTGGAAAAACAATGACTTTCAATAAAGGTAACCAACAAACAATAGACAGGATCAGAAGGAGGGCAGTGAGGCTGTCTAGAACAAGAGGGCAGTGAGACTGAAGATTGGTGGTTTCACAGCACTCTGGTCAGATACACAGGGCAAAAAAACAACGAAAAAGTTAAGTTAGGTTGAGTGACTGTCAAATAGCCTACATATCTGACAAAATAAAACGGTTAATTCAGAACAATGTTTTATTTTATTAAACCCACTGCTTCGGACGTCTTTTTAGTTACATTAATGAACACATACTTATCTTGAATTTCATTTTCAAGATTTTTTAATTTTGCAATTGAACTTTGACTGCTTTAACCGTGTCCTTTCAGTTAGTTAGTCGCCTTAAAATCAGCTGTAACAACCTTTTGTAAGATGATAACATAAAATAATGATAATAAAAAAAAAATTAAAAAAAAAATAGAAATTTGTGTTAGAACACTGAGTGCATAAAATTGCCTTTCATCTATATCTGCCTGTCAGATTCTGCAACTTGCATACATTTACGGCTGATACCTATGTGCTTTTCTTCATATTTTCTTTTAAAACAATTCTATTTCAAGATATGTACATCTCCTTCATATATTTTAGGCAATTATTAAAAATCTTTTTGCAATCTTAAATCAGCATTTATGCGTAAATCAGTATTTAAAAAAAAAAAAAAAAAAAAAAAACAACTCGCTGACTCGGATCCAATGCTACATTTAACTCTCCAACGCAATTTCAAAACTCTCCTCTGCAGTAGCATTTCTGTACATAACCAATATTAGATAATGTTTTATATACAATTATAACCAGACATTCCTTGTAATCGCATTTATACAGTAGTCAGTCAGTTTTTAGGCATGTAGTCTGGGTACTCTGTTCCAGTTGAACTCGACCGATTGGTGCCGGTGATCTGCCTTGGAGCACCAATCGGCACGGATCATCAAGTCCATAAGCACCAATCAGCAGCTACTGTTCTTAAACTCTCCGTTCTCAGTGATGGAGAGCTTGGTGGGGTTGGTGGGCGACAGACCATTGCGGAGGTTGTGCATGCTGTATCGCTCTTTCACCTGAGTGAGGGCACCCATCAACCGAGAGTTAGCTGCATCCAGGGAGCTGATCCTCTTCTCCTACAAAAGAGAGAAAGAGAGAGAAGCACATCAATATCTGGAGGTCAGAAGCAACATATAGATGTTATTAGTAATCTTGTTTCTTCATTACTTAAAGGAATATTCAAGGTTAAATATAATAACCCACCCTATACATAGATACATATGAAGAGTTCAGATGCAAAAGCCTCTAAATGCCATTTGAAATGTTCTTCTTTAATGATGATTTTTATCAAACTTGTAAATTTAAGTTCAGTAATTTCACTTAAATAACAATTAATAGGTAATTATCACTGCCATTTCAGTGAAATCCCTGAACTTAAATATACAAGTTTGATAAAAATGACCATTCTAGAAGAAAATTTCAAATGGCATTTAGAGGCTTTTGCATCTGAACTCTTCATATATACAACTATATTATTTAAAGGTAGCATAACTTTGATTATGAATCACATTCTACTACACTTTTGTATTTCTATTATATATATTAAACTTTCAATTGTATTTAACATTGAATATTCTTTTAAAAAGATTCATTACAAATAAAATAATAAAATAAAATTAATATAATAAAATATAATTCAAAGTGAAAACATTGAAAGAAAAAATAGCAGACATTTATGGTGAAACTAAAATTTGAAGGGAAAAAAATATCAATAAATGTCAAGTTTTATTATATGTATATTTCTTTAAGGGTCCTTTCACACATGAGTGTTTGTTTCAGGACCTGGTGTTTTTTTCTCCCTTGGTTCGGTTCGTTATGTGAACACGTTTAGGCATACGTGACTGAACGAGGTGATCCCGGCCCGGACCATTGAAATTCAATTTGCTGTAGTATTACATTTTGCTGTCAAATTTGCTGTAGTATTAATACGATAGTAGTAGTATGTCATTTAACAGCGGGAATGATGGCTACTTTCGCATAGTGTTTGCATGTCTCGACAGTTATAAATAAAGGCATAATAAGGTCATGGAGCAAACTTGTCAGTCATATTGATAGACGAAGCAGAGGAAATTGACCAATAAGAGGACGGTTGTACTCGGCGCATGTGACTTGCATAAACACATTTTGGTATGGTTTGAAAGGTTGCCTTGTGAAAGCGAACGGAACCAAGAAGAAAATGGAACATTGTAACAAGTGAAGACCCTGTATCAGAACAAAACAAACAATCTGTGAAAAGTGTGAAAACGCCCTAAAAGTAAAACCAAATCAACTATATTTTCATTTTAACATGAAGATCAATTTAATAAGACAAATAATAGATGGCATAAATAGGGCCCATTCATAATCTGTAGCAGTCTGACAAACGGCACAGAATCTGCCTTCAAAATAACACACACACACACACACACCACACAAGGGGGCAAGTTTGTGAGGGCAGCAAAGAGGACAGCTCTGCACAAACAACCAGAGAAGAGAAGTGAAAGTGAGACCATCCTTACAGTATGAAATAATTATCTGCAGAGGGCATTGGCGATTTGTGTGGAGTGCGCGCACACACACCGACTAGGGTGCTGGGAGTGTGGCAGCATGGGCAATCAGGAAGTGACTAGGCAAAATTAAGGAGGAAAAAAATAAATAAATAAAAATAAATAATAGCAGCCAAAGCTAGAGCTCACAGATACCAGGTACTGAATCTGCTATGAGCGATCCCTATTAACACGCATTCCTCGACAGCACTAAACATCGGGAAGATGCTGTGACAGCTTTGAAAAGTGGGAAAAGTGAAATGACAAAACAGACTACAACTAAAACGTTGAATTATGCAAACATATTAGCATTTTTTTTTTAAAGGTCAAGTGTGTAATTTTGCCACTAATGTTTGGACAATCCCAAAATGGCCGAAATTAATTTTTTTAATGTTTTCCCTTAAGTTCCTGATTAGAAATCCTACAAAACTGCTTTATGATTAACTGTTATTACAACGACAAATGTATTTGTATGTATTAACAAATGTATTATGTATTAACAAATGTATTAACGTTATTAATTAGAGGGGCTGTCCACCCAAAAACAAAAATTCTCATTCTCACTATTATTATGTTAATAATAATAATAATAATAATGTAAACTTAATAATGTGTAAGTATTCTTCTAAAGTCAACCTACAAATAGCTGCACTAGACTCTACACACTGCATTTTGATTGAATATCTTCTATCATTGAAAAACTACACACTTCACCTTTAACCCTGGTTTTATTATATCATCCAAAGTGGAGGGAAACAAAATGGCTTAGAGGACTGAGTGTTGCACAAGTTCAGGCCAAGCATGGGTGTTGGATTGGGGTGCGCTTACATAGGCCTAGCAAAACTGTCTGCTTGTACTTGCCTGCTGGTATTACCTCAGTTCCATTAGAGACCTGGAATTCAGTAGGACACAGTAACAATGAGCCAGTCAGCAGCCTGCTTTAATACCATCTGAGGTTTAGTAGGGAGTTCAAAGCATACCACTGTGCAGCACACACAGGCAAGCACCTCACAACCAGACAATAGACTAAGATGATCTCCAAACTCAAACTAAAGTTCCCCTTGCATCTATCATGCTGGTTAATATGGTCATCTGCAGTACCTGTGCATCAATGATCTTCTGTTTGGCATCTATGACCGCCTGCATCTCCGCATGGTCTCTCTTCAGTTCTTCTTCCACGGCCATCAGCCTATAAACCACAAAGGACACAACACCCTGTCAGATTTCACATGGTTTTACCATTACAAATATTTGTAGATTTTTATCAAGTTAGATATTTTTGTTTAGACCAACTTTATTTTATATATGAACAAGACAAATTCAAGTTGAAATGACTTGAATCCCCCCCCCCCCCCCCTTAAATTAACAACTTTATTAAGCAAGGCTACACTAAATTGATCAGTTACACGACATTTATAATGTTGTTCAAGCCTGTTCATACACTCACCTGCAGATAATACTCTTCATCTGGCTGTCTTTCTCTTCCTGCTGTCTGCGCAGACGGTCCTCGCTGTCCTCCAATCGAGCTTTGTATTCTAAGAGCAGCTTCTGCATCTGCTGTTCCTGTGCCAGTAGCCGTCTCTCATACTCCTCTAGTCGTCGACTAGATGTTCGCAGACGCTCCTTCAGCTTTGAGATTTCCTGTTCGTACTTCATATGAGAAGAGTAAAACATCTTAAAACCTTCAACAGAGTGCATCCAATGCAGGCATTTTTCTTTATCGCGTCTAGTACCTTCTCTACATGTTTGGAATCGTCTTTGCTCGGACCTTCCTCTTCCTCATCTTCATACTGGCCGTTATTCAGGATCCATGCGGCAGTTCGCTCCACTGGAGACATGGTGACTGACTCTACAGGTGATTGGACCTTATGGACACAAGCAAACAAGCCATTATTTGGGCTCAAACATTTACAAACAAAGTGAACTCTCTTTCCTCTTTTCGGTCTTCACCTGTTTGTTGCCTCGCCCTCCTGGTACCGAGCTTTCTTTGGAGCAAGTGGACTGCTGCCTGGATCTCTCACCGCTCGGTTGCATGGGTTCTGTGTTGACGCTGCTGCTACTACGGAGGGAAGTACTGTGAGGGAGCGACCTTGGGGTTCGTGCCCCTGGGTTTACTGAAACAAGCCCTACTCCTCGACTCTGTTGCTCCACCTTCACGATATGCGCAGTACCTGCGCTGCTCTGCCTTGGTACAGCCACCACCTGGGCTCCCGAATGCTGGTCTGCCAGGGGCGGGTGCCAGCGTGCCGTGGGAGGAGGTGTCTCCTGTCCCTGTATGCTTTTGCGGCTCAGTTCCTCCTCCACGCTGCTGGTGGACGGCATCCGGGCTCTAGGAGTGGCTCCGCGCACACCTGATGCGCTGGGGCTGGCGCTCCGAGAACTGCCCGTGCTGAGGTTCTCCGAGCTGGAGTCCGGCTGCCGGGACTGGGCGGAGTGCGTGGACTGGGTCGAGTGTGTGGACTGTGCGTGCAGGTTGCTGAGGTGGTAAACAGGGTTTTGGAAAGACAATGGTTGTAGGCTGCGCTGCTGGCTGAGGGAGGGGTGGATAGGTCGACGCACCTGCGGGGCACTCTGGGGCAAATTGTCCCTCAACTGGGGAACTTTCGTATGGACGGGGGGCTGGTGGAGGTGTGGAGGAGGTACAGGGCCGATGGAAGCTTGAGAGCCCACTCGGCCTATTCTAGGAGGGACTTCGGGAACCGGATGCCCCTGTGCCAGGTAAGAGTCCTGCAAGTCCATTAAAGATACGCTGCGTCCGTTCGGGAGAGGGCTGTCTCGCTCCTCTTTGTCCGAGAAGCTCATGCTGTGCGTGGAGGACTGCTGACCCAATAAAGGATGCTTCCCTCGGACTAAGGCCTCCATGTGCTCCTGGACAGGAGATTTGATGCTCCTCATTTCACTGGGGAACGAGATACGTAAGAATGAATATAAGAGAATAATTGTGCAATGCTATTGGACATGATTTAATAGTCAAATTCAGTCTCAGCGGTTTCTGAGAGTTGCTTGCGTCAATGAAACATACAGGTACAATACATTAGTTTGACATTGCATTGTGATCTTTCTTTGTCCTATACCCATTGTCCTTCTCAGAGAAGTATACGTAGGCCATCTGTTATGAAGTCTTGATTAAACTAAAGCTGTGACAGATCTTTTCTTCTGTATTTTGATTTACCTCCGAGGACAGTGATGGGAATAACAGAGTCATAAATAAAAGGCGTTTCTAACGGCGTTATTTTTCTCAGTAACAAGTAATCAAATGAATTACCGTTTCCCCTGTTACAACGCCATTACCATTACTGACAATAAAATATGGCGTTACCATAGCCTAATTGAGCTCACTGAAGCGGTTTTCATCAGAGTAGGCTCTCTCTCCGCCATAGGACCTGCAACATTTTTTCTCTGGTGTGTGTGTGTGTGTGTTAATGTGGCTCTGGACTGGACAATGTGTGAGAGAGACCGAATATGTCTGAGAGTGAGCTCGACTGCGCGAGTGTGTCCGATTAATTTACATGGTTATACAACTAAAATCTAAAAAATAATTTGCAGGGAAAGTTCTGGGAGCACTTCTTGTTAAACTGTTTTTCATTTTAATTTGCACTACAAAGAGTATGTATATTTTTTATTCTTATTTATTAATTTTTGGTACATTTCTTAAGCATTATTTATTTTTAGACTTATTTGTTGGCCAGTTGTGGTCTGTGCAATATTAAATATTAAAAGTTCTAAACCATCCATAATGTTTTATTGTTTTACTATAGTAATGATAATATTTAAAATAATATATAGAATTTAATAGGTGTCTCTCATATTGTCCCACAGCAACATTACAATAATGTAGATTAGTGTACAATGTTCTATAATAATAATTTATTTTATAGTGTCAATTTCATAAATTTAACATATTTAATATTGGGGGCATCCCAAAGTTATTTGACAAAGGCCTATTTGAACATTTAAAAAAAAAAAAGAGTAACGCAATAGTTACTTTCCCTGGTAAGTAGTTACTTTTATAATGATTTAACTCAGTTACTAACTCAGTTACTATTTGTGAAAAGTAACAATAACTAATTACTTTTTTAAGTAACATGCCCAACACTGTCCGAGTAAAACGGATTATCAAAGAAGATAAAAAACAGGGCATGGACTTGATTCAATTAATCGGTTGTTGATTGGACAAAAGCAGATATGAATGCGAGCTTGCAGTCAATTGTAAAGGGCTGGTGGTTTAAAGTTAAAATTCACAGGATCAAAAAAAATAAAAATAACATTAGATAACATTAGAAGATAAATAGGGTGAATTTTCATTTCATGCCAACTTCAAAATGATCATTCAGCAAAGGAAGTCTAAAGATATGTAAACCTCTATGATGCATCTTCCTTAAAGGACAACGCCGGCGCAAAATGAAACTTTGGTCTAACACATTGGTAGCTAGTTGACCCTTCTCTGAGATTTGTTTTCATGATAATCAAATGTAAAGAGTTTTATCTCTAAAAACTGATTAGTTATAACGCTAGTATATAGGGAAAAGAGTACTGAAAAATAAAAATTGCTAGTTAATACCACTAACAAGGCTCAAAATAGCCCCACACTAACAGAGTAGCATAATGAGGGTCCCTACATGCAAACCAAAGCATTGAGAACTTTGTAAGTGTACTGTTTGATAAGAAGATACTTTATAAAGACAGTCCACTTGGGGTATACAGGCAAGAGCCATCTTTGGAAAACAGTATCGACCAATCGAACCACGAATGCCGTGCTAAGTGAGCTCAACTGTATGAACGTCGTTCGTGGTTTTACTGGTCGAGACAGTTTTCCAAAGATGGCTCCTGCATGTATACACGAAGTGGACTGTAAAACTCTTTACATTCGATTATCATGAAAACAGATCTTAGAGAACGGTTGACTAGGAACCAATATGTTATTAGACCAAAGGTTTGTTTTGCGCCGGAGTTCTCCTTTAAGTATGGCTTTAGAAGATCTGGAATGTATCACAAGAGACATAGATATCAAAATAAAGAAAATTATGTCCTACCTGTCTGCTGGGTCTTCAAATATTCTCTGTAGTCCTGAGGACACACTTCCACTGATGTCATGAGTGGAGCTATGGTCCTGGAAGCGCCTGAGCTGCTGCTGGATGGGGGTGGGACTGGACAGCGAGCGGGTAATATCGCCAAGGATTCGTGGCAGGGGCCCCAGTTTGGCCACCGTCGCCTGCAGGAAGGAATTGTCACCCTGGGTTGGTGCGTTACCATGGTAACCACATTATGGACCACAGAGGGCAACCACATGGAGCCCGAGAGTTTGAGGGTGCAGATGGCAGATTGGTGGGTTGGCAGGAGTTTTTTTTTTTTGGTTGGTCGAGAGAGTAGGCACCATAATGCATTGGTGGTAGGACAGCGTTACCATGGAGACACAGTGTGTCGGACAGGAAAGGGTGGAATGTATAGTGGCATGGGTAAACAGAGGAGAAAACAAAAGGGAAAAAGTCAAATTAGGGATAAATAAAAGGAAAACCAAACATGCTTCTACAAAAATGACAAAAGCCATTCCAAAAATAACAAACGAAGGAAAAATGGTCAAACGCAGGGCATGCATCAAACAACAACAGAAGGTTATGTCTGAGACAAGATAAAAGAAAGGTTGAGATGAATTAACTCATGACAGGAAACAAAAACATTGTGCAGGGAGGTTTTAATCGCAGACAAAACAAAACCATGCTCCAGACACAACAGGTCGGCAAGAGTTAGGGGAAAGGCACGTGGGAATGCTTGAACGCGCTGTGTCCAATGCCATTAGACAGACTGTTCCAGTTTAAACAGGGACACTAACCTCGAGAATAACCCAGGCATTGAGTTAATGTAGTAATAATAACACTGCAAACAAGCGCAAAGCTTTTTTTTTTTTTGGCCACACACAGCCCTTTAACAGTACTGCATAGATAATATTTGAAATCAGCTACAACCTTACAACGTTTAGTGGGGATCAAGCATTACTGACATAAAGCACACAGCTCAATATGAGACATTTGCGGCAATACCTCTGAGATATGAAATGTGCTTCCTGATTTTGAGACATGGGCACGCTTAATTAATACTTAAATGTGCACAGTAATTTTTTTTTAAATAAAAGTAATATTCTTTTCGTTCATGTTGCATTTGTTTATGTGTAGGTACCATTCATTTCGATGTCTAAAACTTTTTAATGAAGAAAAAAATACTGAGTGAAAAGGTTTACATAACATCTCTGTGGTAGGTAGGTACTTTTTGTCACCCTCGTCACATCTTATGAACGAATAGAACCTCTGTTGTAAATCTTTGAAAAATCAGACTTTAGCCTACGGTAGATTTCATTGTAAGAGGTATTGTTGCAGTACAATGGTTTGGAGGGATTGCAGTACCTTGTCCAGCTGAGACACCACCTCCCATAGTAGTGAGTGAAGCACTGACAGCTCGCGGCCGAGGTCGATGTAGCCCTCAAAGCCTGGGGTGTTGGAGATTGTCTCAAGATTCGAGATCTCAAGCAGAAAGCGGGTCATACCAGCCCATTCGTGCTCCAGGAATTCATTCATGAAGGCCATATACTCCTCTTTGTTCCCAAATCTGATGTCACCGAGAATAAAAAATGCATGAGAAATTATAAAAGAGCTCTAAGGAAAACAGACACTGAAGTTTAACAATGACTGCATTTACATGCACAATAATTCTACAAAATGAATACATAACATTACATCAGAAGTTGGCCATATTCTGAATATGCAAGTACCATGTAAACAGTTAACCTGATTTCTGTAACCAAACTTGACTGAACTTCCAATTTTAACATTCAAATTGATATTTGAGATGCACAGATGGAATCATTTTTGGGCTGACAACAATTTTAACAAACTATTGGCCGATTCTAATAACACTTTTGTCATTAAAGTAGATAGTGTTTTGATCATGTTTTAAATTAGTTCAAAAAGCATGCATTAAGGTATACTAGTTTATTTCTGTATCATCAAATCATTAATTGACCACTGACTAGATCCATAATATTCAATACATAAATAAAACAGAACAAAGATACATATGAAATAAACATTGTAGTCACACTTTAGATTAGGGTCCACTTCTCGCTATTAACAAACTATTAACAACGACTCTTGACATCATACAACTTCAATCCCTTCACTTAATTCATTAAATCAAAACCGATCTGCCTTTTTTATACTTTAGCTGATATGATAATGGTTTTATATTGATCAAATTGGCAGTGCATCAGTGCATCTCTACTATTTTCAAATTCTTAAAAATATATTTAATATTTTGAATTTTATCTCGTAAACATCTGAAAATCTAATACTGTATGAGAAGTGTTCATGACATACTTGGCAAAGTTAGCGAGATTCTGGATGACTTTGGCGATGAGGGTGAGTGTTCGAGAGGTACGGTCATCTGGGTATTCCTGCATGAGACTGAAGAGGGATGGGGACATGATGGCAGGGCACAGGAAACGCAGGAAGAGTGATGCACTAATCAGACGCTGACTGATGTCCTGTTTCCCCCGAGCATGACACTGCTGCTTCCACGATGCAAACACCTCCTTCAGTTCCCGTGGAAACACACTGACCAGAGCATAGCAGGTTAGGATGGAATTAATGTAATTGCAAGCATGTGACATGAACAAACTACAAACACATTGCAGCAGAAGCATTGCATACTACATAATCTTCCTGGCAAAAATCTTACATATTCAAAAGTGTAGATGTTTTTAAAATGTTTTAAAATGTTTTTAATCAAATACTTTGAAAAACAGTGACACAGGATCCTTTAATGAATTGAAATAAATGTATTTTTTTTTACTTTTTAAGAAATCCTCTACAACTTTATTAATGTTTTTACTTTACTTTTGATCAACTTAATGCATTCTTGCTGAATAAAACTGGCTGACCCCAAATCAATGGACAATAGTGTAAATCTAAACTTTTAAAGTCTGGAAAAAATAAATATATAAAGAATGCCACCAAGTTATTAAACTGGAAGGCTTAGGGTGAATCCCAATTCTGCCTTAGTTTTGCACGCTCACGTGAGATTAAGGGCTATCCCAAACATTTCATGTAGATTATACTTCACAAGCATTTTACTTCAAACATTTCAGCTGAGAATAGCTAGGAAAATGTCCAATTTAACGTTTTATTCATTTCCATAACATTTACAGACCTGGAAATATATATTTTACACACATACTACCGTTCAAATGTTTTAGATCGATTAGATTTGTTAATGTTTTTTTTTTTTTTTTTTAATTCCTTATGCTCACCAAGGCTGCATTTATTTGATCCAAAATACAGCAAACACAATAATACTGTAAGATATTTTTTACAATTGAAAATAAAAAGAAATATTTTTAGCATCATTAATCCAGCCTTCAGAAATCATTATAAATATTATTATTGTTGAAATCATTGTTTTTTTTCAGTATTATTTGATGAATCAACTGTTCAATCAATCAAAGAAAGTTCAACTGTATTTGAAATATAAACCTTTTGTAACATAAATTTATTTACTATCACTTTTGATCAATTTAATACATCCTTGCAGAATAAAAGTATTCATTTATTTTTTTAAATTCTTACAAACCCAAACTTTTGAACAGTACTCTATAATGACACAAAATACTTTTTTAAATGATAAAATATTTCACAATATTACTGTTTTTGCTATTTATATATTGTTTTCTTTGTTTATGTTGTTATTTAATTTTCTCCTCAACTACTAGTGAAAAGTTGTTATATTTTGGAATTGAAAGAAAGTTACCAGTAAGAGTTGATGATCTTGCAGAAGGCCAGCTCACAACACATCTTCAGGTTACTTTGGTGCTCTGGAAGCTCACTGCCGGAGCACTTTGATGGGTCTACTTCACAATTTTCATCTGACTCATACAGGGCTTTAATAAACTCTCCTACAAAGCAGAACACAAACATACAGTAAAGGGGCTTACATAGACAAGCTTTAATTAGCAACCTTTTCCCAAAGGAGAGCAGGCAAATAGCACAATCAACCTCCTTTTAACAGACAAGGGTAATCCTTTAATTCACCTAGTGCATCATGTAGGTACTTCTGTCCCACCAATTTGAGGTATTCTTCAATGGCTTTGGTGGCTAGCGTGTTCTCTCTGAAGATCAGCACCTCATGGTCAGCGCAGCGATCCACCTCTGACATCACCAGATCCGTCAGGAAGTCCTAATACAGACAGTTTAGTCAACCTTCAGTCAAACAAGTGATTTATGGATCATTTTAGTTAATGAGAACTTAACTGGCATCGTACCTTCGCCCGTCCCGTGCTCTGCAGTATGTGCACGAGCGCGCTGGCCATCTCCTCTTTGTTTTTCACGCTGATGACTGGCTCCAACACAGAGCACAACATGGTATAGTTATTGGTCACAAACTCCGCAAACTCCTTGTACTGCTCCATGGGCAGGATAGAGACCGTCTGGAAGCGAGATTTGATGCGGATGGAAGGGCCTCCACCTTTGGCTTTGCTGGTGGTGGGGGTGCTGATCGGATACCATTTCTCCACAAACTGCCTTCCCATCACTCCCTGCACGGGGATGTTCACCAGACCCACGTAGTTGTTTTTGTCCTTTTTCTTCTTCTTATCCACATCACGGTAGATGTGTACAGTGATGCTCTTCATGGCTGGAAGGCCCGAGAACTCAAAGTGTTCCCCCCAGAACAGGCAGTCAGAGCGGGTTTTGCTGGTGGTGCGGGCGTATAGCATGTCATCCAGACACAACTCACAGAAATACTTCTTTTTCGGTGGCAGGTCTTTGGCCTCGATGATCCACAGGCGGAGGACGTTTTCCGCCCGCCGGCAGTTGTCCTGGTGACGGAACAACACTGATTGAATCACAGCAGCTCATTTTAGGTATAAATCAAGCATGCATGGTTTGATTAAAAATGCAAAAAACAAAAAAAACAAAGCATCTGATGGTCACCTTATTAGGCTGCACAGTTCTCTTGAGGTTCTCCATCCATTTGTCCCGTTCAGCAGCAGATGAGCAGCTGAAGCACTTACTACCACCTGAGTACGCCACCTACATGAGGAGGAAATTCATTTATAAAGTAAATCATTCATTTAACCAATATGTTATAAAGAACTGAACTGGATCCACTGTAGCCCTGTGGTTGTACCATGGTACAGTTTGATTTTATTTAAATTCATTAATTTAGCAGTTGTTTTTCGCTAAAGCGACTTACCATGATGTATGAATATGTAACAGCGTTGCATCGATCTTTTGTATGTTAAACAGGATTCACAAAATGTAAATGCATAAAAAGTTTGTGGTGGATAAGATAATTTTTTTAATCCTTTTATTAAAGGTGGGATCAGTTGTTTTAGAAAAACCCTTTTGAAAACTGTGTTGGACCGAGTTAGTGGGGAGGAGAGAGCGCTCCGTGCACACAGCAGACATTAGCCGAACGACTACAGCGCTGGAGAGAACTCAAGGAGCGGGAAGGCCTAACGTCGGACGCAGAGGTTGCTTTATTTCTTCTCGATTGGCGAGTAGCATTGTTTAGCTTTGTTTCACAGAGCTAATATATATCCTGGCAATTGCTTGAATATGCTCGCGTGTCATCTTTGCTTGTTTTTTCATTTTGTTTGTTCGCTTCCGCTATGAAAAAGACACATTCATTTCAACACCAAATAAGCCTGGAGCATCTAAACCACCCCCACTGTCGGTTTCAAGCGTCGGCTACATACTACAAGTGTGTCTAGCAAGATGTTTTGTTTACTTTGGTTTCTCATTTAGTGATTGACATAACCTAATCTTTTGGTTAAAGATTAAACCCCTGATCTTGTTATAGATGTAATATATTGGTTACTATGACTGTCGTGCTCGTGCTATCGAGCTGATCATGATAACTTTGTGTTTTTTGGGATGGGTGTTGAGCGTCGTCTTCCACGTGAAACGGAGCTGAACCACTGACGCGTTAAAACACACATTACTGTCAAAAAACATTGTGGGGCGGAGCTATCAAATTAGGGGCGAGAATCCTTTTAGGGTAGGGGCATGTTTGTTTTGGCGATTTCAAATATCAACATTGGCCAAAAGTGTTTTTCAAAAACTACTGATCCCACCTTTAATGAATGCATTAAAAGTGGCAGTAAAGGCACTGATGTTACAAAAGATTTCCATTGGAATTAAAAAAAAAAAAAAACTGATAATGATAAGAAATGTTTCTTGAGCACAAAATCATCAGAATGATTTCTGAAGGATTATGTAACACTAAAAACTGAAGTAATGGCTGCTGAAAATTGGCATTGCAGGACTAAACTAAATTAAAAAATATATTAATAGAAAACAGTTATTTTTTGTAATAATATTATATTTACTGTAATATAAACTTATTTATGATTAAATAAATGCAGCTTTGGTGAGCAAAAGCTTATTTATAGACCATTTCACAAGATGTAAACAACACTGGTCCAGAAGCAATTCCTGTTTCAGTTTTTTAACACTACATAAAAGCTGGGATAAAATACAACCAACAGAACATTTAAAACTGAATTAAAAAGTTAAACAAACATCTTTAAGATGTTTTCTTTACATGTGAAATAAAGAAAACCGTTACAAACTGAAACAGGAAGTGCTTCTGGACCAGTGTTGTTTACATCTTGTGAAATGGTCTATATATGTATTTGTATGTATATATACAAAAAAAAAATGTACCAACCCCAATCACGTGTACAAATAAATGTCAATGTGATCATGGGAATAATGCTAAGAGGCAAAGTTTGTACCTCAAAGCAGAAGTCTTGTCCTAGAATACTGCTGTGTAAAGGTTTGATGTAGACGTCCTCCTCCATACTCAAATCCAAAGCTTCAACAGCACTGCCTGGACTCAGCAAAGATTCATGGGAGCTGGACTCCTTCAATTTGGGCAGGCCTCGTGACCTAGAACAGCACACAGAAATAACAGAAACCTTAACTTAGTTACTCAAGATTCAGCCAGATCAATTAGTAATAATTGCATCCTCTGTTCCTGATTCTGATATTTCAGTCTCCTTCCTCACTGGCAACAAAGTGTCCTCAGCCACAGGAGATTTGAGATGCAAATAAGAACCATGACAAATGGTTTCTGCTCAGAAAGATTCATTATAATTTCATATGAAATTAGGGTTGAGGACATGTCTAATAACACACACAAAAAAAGATTTTACAGAGTATGACCACAGGGAGGCAGCCAAACGTAAGAGTTTAAGCGATAAAACCAATAATTTCATTATGTGTATCCACAAAATAATCAATTTCAACTTCTTTACTCTAGTTAAAGTAATATGTATTATAAAATCACTGACATGCAAGAAACAACTTCCAGAATTTCACTGCTTCCAGAAAGAAAGTTTATACCTACGAAAAACAACTAAAGATCCACTTGAAGGAGTATCCCAAGAGCATATCAGGCTATTATCGCATTTCTAAAAAGAAACAACGCGTTTTCACTTCATTCTTTGGTGTAGGTGTAGAGCTACTTCCCCGTAGCTCAGGTGAGGTTAAAGAGGACGACAGAAATCTGATGTGACAAACAAGAAAGAGGGCTGGCCAATGCAAAGTCCCCATGAGAATGTTTCCATGGGGACTGCCCTATGAGGAACTGAGAAGCTAGGAATGAGTTGACTACACAAACATCTTGAACACATACACCTCACACCTGCCCTACCGCCACACTTGCACAACATCCACACCTTGACATTACTCACATGTTTGGTTTGTGTTTAATAAGGATTCAGTCATTAGACCAAAGGAGAAAAAAAAACAATCACACCCCACACACACGAATCGTGTTTTTCAAAACATTAATGTGGTGAAATATCAATTTAAAATGACTCTTTTCTGATTATTTATTTATTTTATTTTTTTAAATGTAATTTATTGCAGTGATGGCAAAGCTAATTTTTCATCAGCCATTAATCCAGTCTTCAGTGTCACATGATCCTTCAGAAATCCTTAATATGTTGATTTGGTGCTCAAGTGACATTTGTGTTGTGAAATATTTTATTTAAAGTTTACAGCTGATATAAGGTTGAACCCAATGACACAGCACATATGACCAGACAGTTGGTCACACAACATGAACTATACTGGCATCAGTTTCTTTCATTATGAGAAATTGTGGTGATGCCTGCTGACATAAAAAACAGATTACCACAATGATCTGGCTCAAATCCCAACAGCACTCAAACACAAGACCCATCTTTTCTCTCAAAACATCCATTATATGTCCATCATGTTACCCAATATTTTCCCTGAGTTGTGATACACCAGTCGGAACGAAAAATAATTCAGTTATATCGCCCAGATATTGTGCCCAGATACTACTATAGTGTAGTTCGATTTATGAAAAAAATAAAATAAAAATCTCATGTCACAAGTCTTTTTTTATTTTTTATTTTTTTATCATTTTGAATTAGTTAAATGAATCTTTCACCAGAGGAACTCACTGAATCTGTAAGCATATTCACTGATTTGACTCACTTCCCAAACCTGAATTTTAGAATTGACTGCTTGTGGCTTGTCAGACTGAATGCAATTGCATATGACAATGTGAAGCTATCTGTCCATCTATCCATCTTTCCAGTATCTCTTTCCGTCTCCATTTACAGAGGTGTGGTACATTGAATCAGACAGCCGATGCAGAAACAGCAGGGTGACTCCTGATGGAGGACTCGCTTCCAGCTCTCGATACGTTTCACCTGCGCTGACTCGGACGGCTAAGCAGATCAGTGCACAGTCAGCCCGTATCCGGACACAGCTCTCCCACATTATCCAGGAAATCTGATCAGTCCACCAGGACTGCAGTGCCACATTCAAGCTCTTTACAGTCAAAGCTTCCAAGTCTGCTTTGAATACAGGACTAGTATTTTCATTCAGACCCCATAGTGAGAGGTGATTCTGCTACAGCAAAGGTCGATTACTTCAAAGCCTCTAATGTACTATTTACATTTTCCTTTCAGCTACAGGTTTAAATGTTTTCCCATAGCCAGCCATTCAGTGAAGCTAAGAAAGCAGAAAACTCTGGCCTTATCTGAAGAGGGGTTTAGCTAGCTGGGTGCTCTTGGCACGCTCATAATACATGTGGCAACCAATTGAGTTTGGATTCATTTTCTTTGGCTTTGTTTAGCTTTCAAAAACATTTTGTAGTTCGAAACGCAAACGAACAAACAAGCAAACGAAAATCCCCACATGAAATCTGATGTTTCAAAATTCATTCAAATGCACTTTAAAAATATTTGTATTTTTTTCACATAAAAAATGGTAAAAAGAAGCTGCAGTAAACACATTTACTTGGTTAGCTGTAGATTATAAATGGTTTAACATCGCATTAATTTTACTGTGTAAAATACTGTCAAATTTATACAAACTTATTAAAGTAAAAACTATAAATTGTCATAACTTATAGAGAAAAAACAAACTTCATTCATATAGCGAATTATATAGTTAAACGTTGCTGTTGTCGACTACTCTAAAGTGCCTTATGAATTCGCCACCGTGGTGAGATGTCAGAACTCTATCCTCTCTTTTTCCACTGACAGCTATTCTCAGTTGTTGTGGAAGAAAGTTCTTGACATTGTCCTGACAACTAAATAATTACTTGAGCGACTGATGCAGACACGCCAGACTGAACAAACAAATAACATTTCAAATTTCATTGGAGGACATTGAGAAAAAAAATTTCAGTGTCCGACTGGTAACCCACGTTTGCTGGTTTGATTCCAGTACCGGCAGGAAATGACTGAGATGCCCTTGAGCAATCCCTCCCCGGGCACCACAGCATAATGGCTGCCTCCTGCTCTGGGTGTGTATCACATTTTGCAGTGTGTGTATGTTCACAACTCAGTACTGTGCTTCTAATGTGTGCACTAACTTGGAAGGGTTAAATGCGGAGGACAAATTCCAAATATGGGTTACGATACTTGTCAGTTTTTATTGTTTTTAATCAATTAAATGAATGTTTTGGGGAGTATAAGAGACTTATTTCAAAGGCATTTAAAAATTGAAATTTGGACAAATGCTGCTGACCCGAGACTTTTAAGTTTCTTTGTTAGATAGTTTTTGTCCGACTACATTGACTTGACCTGACCCCAGACCACTCGGTGAGTTTCACGTCTTTGTAAACAAAAATTTAATGCGTTTTATGAATGATAGTTCCAGTGCACATAGACAGCCATATACGATCTTAAAACAGGGCTGTAAGTGTAAAATACCGAACCCTTTAAATGCTTTTGAAATAAGTCTCTTATGCTCCCCAAAACATTCATTAAATTGATCAAAAATAATAAAAAGTGACATGTGAAGGCCAAGTATCATAACCCATATTTGGAATTTGTCCTCCGCATTTAACCCATCCAAAAGCACAGTATGGAGTAGTGAAAATACACACACTGCAAAACATGATACACACCCGGAGTAGTCAAAATGTTCAATCTTAACCGTTCTATTTCATCAGAAACGATCTTAAAACAGGGCATTAAGTGTAAAATACCGAACTAAACCTTTAAGAATCTTACCGACTACAAACTAAATCAAACGATAATGTATATAATTTCAAATAATTTCATTTTTAGGTGAACTATCCCTTTAAACACCCACACATGCATGCTCATAAGTGCATTTGAATGCAGTGACAGATGAACGTAGAGAGTTCAGCTGTAATTCATCTCAATCAAACCGTCACATGCAGTCTCTGTCTTTGCTAGTAGCTACAGGGACACACACACACACACACACACACACACTCTCTCTCGTGCACCACAACTCACACGCACGCTCCTTCCAAGCATTATGAGCAAGAGCTCCTCACAAACAGATGCACTCAATCCACAAGGAGCAGCATGAGAAATCAGCTTGATTACAACTGCACCTCCGCCTCATCTGTAGTCTTACCACAGCAGCTGTGGCCATTAGAGTATAGAGCAGATACACCAGCAACATCACAGCCTCCTACCTGTTTCCAAGTAACTGTCACAAACAAAAAGGGTGGAGAAGAAAATCAAATTCTGGTCTGTCACCTCACCACAGCTTACCAGCCCTAATTCACCCCTCAGGCCTGTGACACACTGATTGTGTAGTAATAAAGCAAAAGTGACTTTGCCTAATGCTATTAACAGCCCTGCTTATCCATTAATCCTCCAGCAGAAGTAAGATTTACAGCACTTACACACCCAACCGCAGCATAGCGAGGAAGTACATCACAAGGAAATCTGACAAATCAAATGACAGAAAACAAAGAGGCAGTGTCCATGTGATTTAATGTCTTATCGGGTGGACAGTGTGTTGGACCAAAGAGGTCTATATTACCTAGAGCGACATTCATTTCAGAGGTGGCTGAAAGCAAAAAGGGTAAAATAAAATGAAAAATTTAATAAGAACACAAGGGAACTAATCAACGATCATTGGAGAGATTTTTTTGGGGTCTTTTTAATAAAATAAAGATTTAATTTAATCAGAAAGGAACAAAGGAGGAAGATTATTTGGGGGATTTTTTCATCGGCACGCAGGAGCTGTCCACCAGCTCACAAAATAAAAAGTTTTGAATGGGGATCAATGGCAAACTGGTCTATGCTAACCAGCCAAACCATGAGTCAGACAGCCAGTGGGGCAGTAAAAACACTACCACTAAGTGCAGTCAAAAGATTTTTAAGATCATGCCAAGCATAAATTCAGTCAAGTGTATTCAAACTTTTGACTGGCCGAGCAAGAGCAGTTTAAATTGTGGCTTTGACACATTAGCTTCATTTGGGACGAACTGCCAGAACGGTTCTGCCAGAGAGCTGTCAAGACTGCCTGAAAGGTTTAACATTTGTTTTAAAACAGATCTCATGTTATGCCAGGTCCCAGCACAGCATATTTTCCAACCAGCTGTTCTCTATAAACTTGAGAACATGAATTAAAAAGCTATAAGCAAGCACCGTTTTTTTCAATAGGTCCTCATAATTGAAGGAAAGGTTAAAAAAAGCAAAATGTCTATGACTTTATTACCAACAAAGGTCTGATCCATTCAAATATCTATTCAGCTTTGAATTTTTAATCTCACAGATAACCCACATCTGTCTCTTAAAATTCTGGGCAGAGACAAAAGACAGAAGGAAATTGAATGAGGTTCAATCAGTTCACTCTGAATACATTTGAAAAACAAACCAGTGTGAATTGTACCTGTCATTTTCCGTTGGTCGTAGTGATGGGAGTCTAAAACTTGTGTTGCGGTCCAGCTTGGTCTGACTCTTAGTCCTTTTGATGGATCCTTTCAGTCGTTTACTTAAAAAGCCCTGTGAAGCAGAAGAGCAGAGAAAGTCAGATGTGTCCCTTTAAGAAACTCAAGTTCTTCAGTCGCTGAATGACGACGGAGTGTACGGCTTTGCCCAGCATGACTCAAGCTTGCTCATGAATAAGCGTCTGTATATTCAGCTTTAAAGTCATGATCAATTATACATGTAGACCACCCTGAGAACATATGACAGAGACAATGGCACCGCCATAAAAAAGCAGATAGCAACTTCAGCGAAGACTCATTTGACCTTTCAAAAGCAGGCTTGTACTTTACAGGAGAGACAGCTGAAGTAACATCCAACAGACCATTTCAGCAGACATATCAGTCTATCTTGGCGGTGAGAAAAGGCACTTGCACAGACTAATAAAGGGCGGCCAAGGCCGGCTGAAGAGTTTACCGTCTACACGTGGCACAGACAGTGCTTGTTCAGTGTCTTGGAGGAAAACAAAATATTAATAAGTAACCAAGTCAGAGAGTTCAAGCGGTCACCTGCGGATATATATGCCAGTAATATTTGGTTCTGGGTCAGAATGAGCTGTTCTTACAAGGCTCTTTAGTTTCAGCAAAACAGGAAAAAAAAAAAACTCAGCATGGGCTTATTCATTCATGTTCAGTTATTCATTCATCCATGTTATTAGCTCATTTTAGTCAGTAGGAGGGGCAACATGAATAAATATTACAAATAAAAATTATAATAATATTTTGTTTTAACTCTGAAATCAGATTGAATGCGCATTCCAGAATCTCCAGAGTACTTTTAGCCTACTATTTTTCTAATACTATGTATCTGGACATACTACTGTTTTTCATAGACTATAGAGAAGTATTCACTTTTGTACTGAATCAATATTAAATGACAACGATTTGACTATTAAACTTCAAATAAAGATTGTAACAATTACATCAGTGTTTGTCATTGAATCATTCATTCAAAAATACTGATCATCCAGTAATGAAGCATGTGAAGTCTTTATATGCAAGTAATTAGCCCCTTTCACACAGCAATGCCAGTAAATTGTTGTACAATTGCCAGAATGACTTTTCCGGTAAATAAACAAGTGTGTGGTGCTTTTCACTCTCAAACAATGTCTTTTACCCGTAAGATACCATTCACACATGAGTGCCAAACTACCGGTAAACTCTCTAATGAAAATTTCCAGAACCGATTTACTGGTCAAGGACATGATATCTTAACAGTAATTTACCAGTAAAGACTATGTGTTAAAGGGGCTATTGAAACATTACTTCAAACTGATACTTTTTTAAACAAATATTTATTCATTTATTTTTTTCAAATAATTAAAATTATTTAAATATTATTTTTAAATAGATTGCAGAAATTAACATTTTTTTAGAACCTCTAGTAAAGTACATTCTATTCTGTTCAGTTGTCTAATCAGAAACGTGGGGAAAATGTGATGTCCATTTAAAAAGATAACATGGCCTTACTGCTATCTAACACCGTTTACAGTGAATTGAATAAAAGAGGACAGAGGAGAAAACAAGGAAGTAAAAAAAAATCTAGAGTAATCTAGATTAGTATTAATCTGTATTAATCACAGAGGATTAGCTGAACGGCTATTTGGTAAAATCATACGGTACAATGACACTGAGTCACTGTCTAAAAAGAAATAGGGCAGGGAAAGTAAGATCTGTCCTGTTCAGATAAGTGCCAGACTATAAGTAGGTGCGCGTTTGGCAAGTAAAAGGGCCATTAGCAGTGATGAGATAGAAAGTATGTGATAAATTAGTCACTCCTCATCAGAGGGATGATTTGAGAAAGCTTTATGTCTGAAAGGTGAAATAGAGAGAGGGTGAGAGATATAAGACAGAGCGATGAAGCACTGTGAGACAAAGTAATGTGGAGTGAGTCACTGGATAATAAAGTATGAGAAAACTAGAAAAGAGAAAGGGCATCTGAGAAAATTGACCAAAAAAATAAAATAAATAAATGTCTCTCAATTTCCAACTTGGAAGTATGTGGACACCTACTGTAAACACCACAACATTTAAAAAGCATTCAATCATAAAATCATTGACATTAATAGGGAGTCAGTGTTCCCTAACATTGTTGACTACTTTGCGACTGCTGAAGCATCTTAACAATATAAACTACAACACTGACAGGCTTCAAGCAGTCTTCACATAATTCATATATTATTATATGCTGCCTTAACAGAGCCCATTAGTCACCATGCACCTGTCAATCAATGCCTCTATATGTTTCTTATAGAAAATGACTAATGAGACTTCATCTTAAGAAAAATCACATCTAAATCCAAGTCTTTTATCTCAGTGCACCAAATCAGTGTATTTGTCTAGGAATTTTGTGACAGGGAGACCAATATGTGCAGGATTAATCACTTATAAAATGACACACCAAAATGCTGTGGATATAAATATCTTCCATGTCCCACTTCCTGCCTGGTTAAAAATATCATAAAACAATTTCTAAAGCTTCTCCTAGGCACAGACTATTTCAAGAATGTGCTTTTGTTACAATATACGTATCGGAGAAAGCATTTCCTCATTGTTAATAAATTGCAGCACTGAAAAACTTTACAAAAAAACTGAACATGCAAACTTAATACATATTTATACATATATCATTCTGTCCTTATGCATAAGAACTGGCCTGGAATAAGGAAGACCATTATTGGCTGGAGATAAACGGAGGACGACGACATTTCACTAATCAGGGGCTCAAGAGGGTAATTAAAGTGGGGCATTTATCCCAAGTAGAATTCTGGTCTATTTCTACATCAGTGCAGTGTGACATGTAACCAGCCTCTTTTAAGAGACAATGATTAATGGTGGGGACTAACTAACAGTAGAGACACCAATATGTAACAATACAAAAATGTTATTTAACTTACTTATTTAACTTGACTTCCTTTCTTCAGTGGGGCATAAACGATTTTTTGAAAAACTGTATTATGTCCATTTAATAACAGTCTAAGGTTCTTTCACAATGCGTGCGATGCGATAAACGATTTGTCGACGAACTGAGTTTTCTCACCAAACAGCTTCAGCTAATTCACGCCTGCACGATAGGTGCCGCTGACCGAGAATACATCTTTCCTCATGTACGCATCTTGTAGGTTTTTCCATTTGGCTTTAATTTCGTCTGCTGCACAACATACAACAGTAAATTAAGATAAATACATTTTGGTACTATACAGAAACCATCATCGACATCGAGTGCGTGTCATAACTTCTGACTGCGATTTAAAGTGGATTTTGATTAAATAATGGGCAGATGTGCGTTATTTGTAATGTTTTCAAGTGACTTAAAGTTCTTAAGTTTCCTCAAATTCCACAACTTCAGTGAACTGTGCTGCTTAGCATTTCTCATGTAAGCATTTCCTGATTCTTTACTGTTATAGAAATACCCTGAATGAGGAAATGTACACAATGTAGTAATTCAGAAAGGGCAAGAGTTCTGATTACATAATATGATTGACAGCACTAGAACCAATGAGATCTCTGACTCAAAACAGAGATGTACAGAAGAAAACAGCGCTCTGTATGCCATTTCAAGCTCTTAAGCTCACATAATTCAGTGGAAAATGAGTAAAAATGACAATCTGTATAAAGAACAGACACCAATGATAACATCAACATCCATTCTCTTCTCTGAGCATTATCGTGACATACATTTGCATTCCTTAATCTTGCTCAGTGTATGAAAAGCCCTGTACATTTAGCTGACGCTCTTGAATCGAAACAATACTTCCCTATGGAGCTTTTCCCAACGGGTGCAATCAATCTCAGCGTGACAAAGCAAAAAATATAATATTTCAACCAGCTTGTCGATTCGAGCCGTCCAATTAGATTTGAGCTTGTGCCCGAGCCGGTGCAATTGCACAAAAGTGTGAGAGTGGTAGCACTGCTTTTTCTTTTGCATCTTATCGTGCTTGAATGGTTTGATAGGAGTTGAATGAATGATAGAGCAGCCAATGGATGACGGAATAAAAACAGATGCTGCGTTAAAGGGATACTCCACTTTTTTTGGAAATAGGCTCATTTTACAACTCCCTCAGAGTTTTACCATTTTCGAATCCATTCAGCCAATTTTCTGATATTTAGAAGAATATCAGTAACCAGACCGTTTCTGGTCCCATTGACTTCCATAGTATATATTTTTTCCTACCAAAATTTTTTCCTAAAAGTGGAGTATCCCTTTAAATGAGTTAAATATTTTTAACACGTTAAACTGAAAAAAAATGTATTGCAAGTGTTAACATATTGGTTTTGTTCATACATTAACTAATGTTAACAAATGAGACCTTATTGTAGAGTGTTACCAAAATGATGATACTGTAATGCACTTAAAAATTGGCCTAAAAAATGAAATAATGGCTGAAGGACACAGAGTGCTGGCACAGCAGTCTGAGAGAAAAGTAACCGAGGTCAATGAGATGTGATGATGAGCTGGTGTAATGCTAATATGAGTTTTGCTGAATGAACTCACAGGCACTTTGAAGGGTGACGAGTTGGGGCCATCCATGGAAATGTTCTTCTCCGAGCTGCTCAGCCCTGATATGCTCCTCCGCCTGGGAGAGCGCTCCGCAGACGCTTCTGCTGTGAGGGAAGAGAGGAAAGGAAGGATTAGATCACAGCAAATATTCAAAGAGACTGGGAGGTTGCTTTTAAATGTTTTAATATGCACAATAATGATCAGAGAAGTATGAAGAGTAGGAGAGCTGTAACAGAGGGAGTAGCCCACTGTGGATCACTTCCAGGAGGGAGTTTGACGTTGGTGATAAACTACTGATACTGCAGTCAAAGGAATAATCATAAGTGGAATCAACATTTGTACATTTGCACATCTACTTCTGTGGATGCACTAATTTACAATTGGTGGCACAAAATCAATAATTATTGTATAAGTTATAGCTAAGATCTATTTTATGACTACTTTCACCATGCATTCTGATTGGCTGATTTGTTCGAATAGGTGCACAATTATTTCCTATAACTGCATAGCTATTAAATAGTTTTAGGTTTGTTACCTGAATTGATTGCATATAACATTATACATTCTTTCTACATTTGTTATATACAATGGGCTGTATAGACCATTTCACAAGATGTAAACAACACTGGTCCAGAAGCACTTCCTGTTTCAGTTTGTAACTGTTTTCTTTATTTCACATGTAAAGAAAACATCTTAAAGATGTTTGTTTAACTTTTTAATTCAGTTTTAAATGTTCTGTTGGTTGTATTTTATCCCAGCTTTTATGTAGTGTTAAAAAACTGAAACAGGAAGTGCTTCTGGACCAGTGTTGTTTACATCTTGTGAAATGGTCTACGTATACAAACACACACACTTGGGGTCAATAAACCGATACAAAAGATTTCCATTTCAAATAAATTCTGTTCTTTGAACTTTTGATTCAAAGAATACAGAGAAAAAGCTTCACGCTTTCCACAAAAATATTAAAAACCACCACTGTTTTTTAACATTGATAACAATAAAAATGTGTCTTGACTCTTGAGCACCAAATCAGAAGACTGAAGTAATGGCTTTACCATAACAGGAATAATTTTATTTTTTATTTTTATTTTAGCAAAATAGGAAACAGTTATTTTATTTTAAATGTTGATAATGTCACAATATTACGTTTTTACTGTATTTTTGGTCAAATAAATCTTACGGACCCCAAATCTATACATAAATGAAGGATCCCTAAATATAATTTTGCAAAGATAGGTGTGCTTTCCTGTGCCCCCAGCTTTTCAAACTGTCTCTACACCCCTGATTGATTGATCCTGACCAATCTTAAATGAAGTCTGGGGTCAATTAAAGTCACAGGTCCTCTGTAAATCTATCTCTCCCCTAATGATGCCCAGCGGGTCCCTAACAAAGTGCTTGCTTGCGCCTGGCTAAAGTGCCAGTAAGACAGGTTTAAAAGAGTGATTTAACACAAAGCTTTCACTAAGTCCTCTTAATAAACCACTCATCCATCCACTCATAAACGCCCACTCTACCTGCCGCCACCAGGCGTCCAGATGGATGCCCTGTGCTCTCAAATATATTAGTCATTTTCCTTTCATAGTCCAGTTTATTTTTAATTTCCTCAGACCAATTTATTCTGCATTTGCAGGGAGCCCGCAGTCAATGTGTGTCAAGGATGGAGCAGGACGTAACCTACATCCGCACAGCCTACCAAAGATCCACCCCTCGGGCCTACCGCCTCACTGAAGTGTAGATCACCCCATTATGAGTTAATTCACCCTGAGAAATAAAAACCCAGTCTATCAAGTAGGAATAGCCAGCCACAGAACTTCTGCCTCTCAGCGACTGCACTGAATCAAGAAATACTGTTGAAATTGACCCACAGGACTTTTGGCCAAGACGCTGGTTCTGGTTTCAGCTTGCAGGCCTCAGTGGATCCATACAATACAGATTGTGCCTGGTGTGTTGGAGAGCTGCCCACTGCTGCTCACGATCAAGCCCTCCACTCACAATATAAGCTTAAAGAGATAGTTCGCCTCAAAATTCCAAACCCGTACGACTTAATTTTTTATATTTTTGGGATACAAAAGATATTTCGAAAAAAAATATTGGGCCCAAAAACAAACACTGCATCCCTTTTGACTTTCATTAAATGGTCAAAATAACACTTTTCAAAACTTTTTCATGTTCCACTGAAGCAATAATGACATGAGGGTGAGTCTATGTAACATTTTATGTTTTGGTTGAACTATTGCTTTAATATCTTAAAAAAAAAAAAAATTCACATATACTCAACCAACTTCTCAACAAATGAACAGGACATGATGTCTCTTAAACTACGCATCAGTCACACTCGCATTTGGCTGATATCCAGAGAGCCATTGATTAACGGCTAAATTTAGCAGTTCAACCAGTTTTGCAGCACAGGAGTGGTCCAATCAAATTCTGTGCAGTCTGTCCGACTTTTTGATATTTAAAGATTAAGAACATTTTTTATACAGCATCTCAAATTGCTCAGCTGCCCTTAAGAAAAATGAGTGCATGCGATTAAATTTGTATTAAAACATATGAGATCAGAACACTGCTTCACAAAAACGGCAACTTCTCATGTTTTCTCCATCGCAGCCAAAGCTGGGTTTTATAGGCTCCTCGGATCGAACTCTTACGTACATCACTCACACTCTCCGTGAAGTTGCTGCTTGCATGAGAGCTCTGCAGTGCCGAACTCGACAAATCACAGCAATCCCTATGACTAAGCAAGCACAGTTGTAGTTTTTATATTATAACCTTGGCACTAACCAAGATCATAGGAAATGCACACAGTGATAAAACACATTTTGAATGCACTTTATTTCACTTTGGATAAAAGCTAGATGCATAAACGGGAGTAAATGAAAATCAAAATCAGCAAAACACCACCTCGCTTTGCCTCTGAACTTATCAAACAGGAAATGACTTGTTACAGCATATTCAACCCAACTTCAATCATTATGGATTTTTTAAGGACCCTCCAGTCTGAGAGCAGGACGATAACTTAATCTATTAAAGTTAATCTAATAACACGCAGCTGAGAAAGAGAAGGAGAGAGAGAGAGCAAGATACCTCTATCACAGCTGTTGCCCATCACCTACTGAATAAATGGAGCTGGTCACCATTGGATTGGCTGGAGAGTGACCATCACCCTCGTCCAATGAGCTTGAGCGCTTTCCCCTTAATTGTCCATCACTCTGAGAGAGATTCCGCCGCATTGATAAACTGCAGCCTCTTCATTGTCCTGCTGTGGCTCACTGCCACATCGTACCGTCTTCCTCTCTCCCCGTACCAACACTCCGGCGCTCTCTCTCAAAGACTGAAACGTCCTCTGCTAAACCTCACTCTCCCGTCTCAGTCCATCCTCTTCTCCCCAACCATATCTCTGGGCAGCAATCCTAGTTCTCACTTTATCAGCCTCTTCCCTTTCTCTTTTTTGGCAGACCAGCGGAAGAGATTTTACCGCATTTACTCAATCAATCGCTGTAACCTCACTCCTCTGTTCCTCTCAGCAGAACTGCAAGCACTTCCCATCCCTCTCTCTCTCTCTCTCTCGCTTCTCTCTCATTTGCTTGTGTCCCCCCCCCACCCTCCCCCCTCCTCGGCGCATCTGGCTCCGTCTGCCTGCTGCAGCCTTGCACATTACAAAAAACCAAGAGGCGCTCTTTGCCTCGAGACTTTTGTTTTCATACTTCATGTGGGACACTGCTCTGGAGGCTTGTGCTGTGCCTGTAAATGCGTGTCATTGGTATGAGTTCTGTTTTAGAGGTCATTAATGAATGGAGAAGTAAAATAATAGATACGAGCATGTGTCCGATTACACAGGTCAAAGAACGTTAGCGCTATTAGCTGGACGTGACCTACTGAAATGAGCCAAAACTGCATGTGGACTGAACTGAAGGGGTATGGTGCACGACTTGATATGCTATATATAGCATGTCCTTCAAAATCCTTTTTAAATTGAATAAAGCAATATCAGTTGCTATCAGGAGACTGGGATCAGGAAATGACGCAAGCCAAACACAAACTAAGGCTGCTCACATTAGCACATGTTGGAGTGAAAAATAAACCATGTGAATTTTATCATCATAAACCTGTTGGGATCCTTACACAGCAGACATTCAGATTTGTAAAAGGTCTGCAAAGATTCAAGTGCACGACAAATGAAGTTGTGTCCTGAAAGAAATAGAAATGAGTTGTCTGCAGCTCCAGTCTCACTTCCTGTTACAAGGTCTACTAACCGCCCTCAAACACAGTAGTTGTAGCTGACGCCTAGCAGAGATTGGTTTGTGTTGTTGACATGCAGTGGTGGAATGTAACGAAGTACAAATACTTCGTTACTTTACTTAAGTACATTTTTCACGTATCTTTACTTTACTTAAGTACAATAAATAGTGCATACTTTTTACTTTTACTTCGTTACATTTTGCAGCAATTATTATACTTTCTACTCCACTACATTTCTACAACTTCTGTTACATTTTCGTTACATTTTCCCCTGCCAAAACGTCATCTGACCGTCCGTTCGTTGCATGTTTGTCTCACCAGTGACGTTTGGTTGCCATAGATACAGTATATCAACCCGGTCACACTAAATGCGTCTCGCACGCAGTGTGTTTATCATGCAACTCATACGCGAAAATTTGTTTTTACGTGCATAGGAAACGCACCGTGTGTAATATATGTTTGGTTTGGTTAGGATTATGGCAAGCCAAGAGGTTCAGAATTACACCATAAATGAATCGCGTTTACTGCCAAACATAGTTATTAACATATAGTAAGGATAAGCATGATATTGCCTAATTGCAAGCTTGTTTCAGTAATGGTGACATTTTTTTTCCATCATTATTGAACATCATTATAGGAGTAGGCTATTAGGTTGAATGAGTTAGAATTAAATGTTTTATTAATCATTAGAAAATAGACATTAAGATAATAAATTGTTATGCAAGTACTTTTACTTTTAATACTTAAAGTACATTTAAAATAAAGTACTTTGTACTTTTTACTTAAGTATGGTTGTCATTGTGTTACTTCTACTTTTACTAAAGTAAATATTTATCTGGGTATTTGTACTTTTACTTAAGTACTG